TTTAGGATAAAAAATATTATTTAATAAAATTTTTTAATAAAAACGTTGGTTTTTGAACAACTTGAAGCTATGTAAAAAAAAATAGTAATTTTTGAGATAATGAGTGTTCAATGATATAAGAATCACTCGGTATAATATGTCAGAAATTCGCGATACACCCAGTATAATATRTATATATATAGTGACTATTTACCGTCCACTCGATCGTATTTRTCGAGACCGACATTTTCTGATATATTGTGTTTGTTTTTTGTTTGTTTTCGTCGACACGCCGCGSGTGCGCATCCGYGTAATATGATGCGTTTCCGTGTTTGTGGTGCGGTACTACTGTAGGAAGTCAAGGAGTACTTGGACGCGGAACACCTGACGCCGTACCCGACCACCGACCTACGGACGCCACTCAGCGTGGAGATGAGAACGCTCAAGGAGGCCGACGGGTCATCGTCTGGCGGAGGCCAGTGGCGTTCGCGCAACGAGGTAGGCAGCGTTGACAGTTCGGACACGTACATCAGCTGCAAGTCGCAACCGTTCCATTCCCAGGGCGACTTGACGGCAGCCGACGACCTCCACGACGCCGTTTTCGAGCCGGCCGGTGGTCACGTCCCAGCCAGCGGCCCCGGCCCGCCTGCCGCCGGTAAGGGCGGGGCCGGCAACGACTCCAACCTGTACGTCAACCCCCTGGAGAGCACCGGTGGCAAAGGCGGCAAAGGGGGGCCACCCCGGAGCTTGGGCACGTCGCCGATGGACGAGTGCAAAGAGTTTTCGGGCCGGACTGCGGCGGTCGGCAGTCGCGGAAGCCTCAACGAAACGGCCAAACAGCGGAAGACGAGATTTTCTCAAGTAAGTCGCACGCCCAGAAATAATTTTTCGTGATKCCCAATAATTTAGAATTGATTGTATCGAGGAAACGGATAAAAATCATCGGCATTTTCCTAGACGTTTTGAAACGGCTAATAAAGCACTCAATATATTATACTGTCCCTGCACGAACCGCWTAAATATTCCGTTCGTTGTTATCCGTTCTAAAGAAMCGTGTAGAAAACATATATTATTAATGCAATAATTTTTCTCCGCATAATATAATGTACCTAGTATTATTCTCGATAATCGATATCAGTATTTTACCACCGAGATGGCATTAATTAAATTACGGTATCAGTAGTAATTGCGTCAATTTATCACCGCCAGTACGCTATTCCCTCCGATGGAGCCGGCAATTAAATGTATCATTATTGATATATATATATTATAATATAACATATAATATATTAAAAGCAATTATTTTCGTTTTGGAAATTGCAGTGCCATATAACAATTTATAGTATAAAATATAGACTATAAACTTTGTGACATTAAAAAATGACGCGGTCCCAATATGCTATACAGTGGAGCGAACACATACTTCAGGTCGTTTAGTTGAACTGCCTTCACAATTGGGTGGGTGGGTAAAATAAT